TTACCTAAGATGGTATGAATAGAAACATAAAATCATTGATTACATTTTAACTAACTAAGAATATAGGGCCTAAATAAGCTGTCTACATAAACCCTGTTGCTCTAATGACAAACTAGCTCATGATTTATTAATAACAAGCCTATAAATATGAATAAGATTTGTGTTTCTAAATTGGAATCACCAATTAACTCTTTTTTAGCTGTTTAAAGACAACTTTTTGCTCAATTTGAAAGAAATTGATCTTGATTTGTGTCCCGTTTACAGGAGTGTTTCCCTAAAGGTTGTAATGAGCAATGATACATTACATCCTAATGCTAACAAGATACCAAGGTGAAATTGTATACCCTTCCTCACAAAACCTATTTAAACAAATTTAAAGGATTTAAGAGTATTTTTTTTAGATGGGCTGCCTATTAGCACACGATTAAAATATCCGAAAACTGTTTTAAAACAAAGATTTCAGGTGTGTTGTAATAAATTATGTTAGCTAATCTATATATATATATATAAATATAACTAAGATATCCAGTAAGACAGTAGACACCACCTTAACCGGGAGACTGCAGCCAAACATCAATTTGGCTAATTAAACCAACTTGTTAAAAAACAGCCGGCTAAAAGATAGAAACTTTCGAAGGCCAGCCAAAACAACAGCAATGTAAAAGGTGTCCAGTTAAGAGGATATCTACTGTATTGGAATGTACAATTCAAGTTTTTCTTATTATAGATTAAGTAGCCATATCACAGCATAATTTGGAAGAGTACCTACATTAGAGATCTTACCATACCTGTTTTATGCTAGTAAAAATTAATTTTCAAATTGATTACCAAGTTACATATTTTAAAGATTAGGACCTTCCCTATTACATTACTCTTCTAGTAAAACATATAGCTGGTTGGTTAGCCATGAAAGTGTTAAAGAGCTTGGACCTTCTATCTAAAAGTAGCTTGTTTTATCATGAGATTCTATACATCAGTTGTGATGTTTATAGGGCAATTAAATAAGTCTTACAACAGGTTAAAAGACTATGTTTTAGACCAGGGGTCTCCATTTCAACCTACCGCCACATCCGCCCCACAGAAAGTCAGCCTAGGCTAATGGAAATAAATATTTTTGATAGCAAACATTGATAATCTTTTCTCCCAATCGCATAAACAGCTGTGTTCTGGCAGTCTTTGCTATACCATGATCGTTTCCCTCGATCGCCGTAACACTGGTTACCATATCTTTGCAGTCTCAGTGATACCGTAATCATTTCCCGCGATTGCAGTGACACTTGTGAACATATATTGCGGTCTCAGCGATGCCGTAATAATTTCCCGCGATTGCAGTGACACTTGTGAACATATATTGCGGTCTCAGCGATGCCGATGCCGTAATCATTTCCCGCAATCGCAGTGACACTTGTGAACATATAATGGGGTCTCAGCGATGCCGTAATCATTTCTCGCGATTGCGGAGACACTAGAGACTATATATTGCGGTCTTAGCCATACTGTAATCGTTTCCTGCACAACCCTTATCACGGGTTATTGTGATTTCTTTACGTTAAAAGAGAACCAATAGAACGCTGTCAATGAATGGAGATTGGGCAATAGAATATTGATATAACTTTTAGCTCATACCAAATTCAAGTAGGTACAATTCAATGTTTTTTTCCGTTCAACAAAATTCTCCTACAATTCCAGTCTCCATCTCTGCTGGTTATCATGTTCAAATATGAGTATATAGTACACGTCTCTCAACTACCAATTTTTTTTGGTAGAGGAAAATTAGCAGGAAACATGCAGTGGTCGAATCATCTAAATACAGATCTGCCAAGATGGATAGTAGTTTGAAATGAATCACAATTATCAGAACTACAAATTGCATTGCAATCCCAAATGAGCTTATAACTGAAAGTTTTATAGTTGTTACAAAAGATTTGTGTCATCCTGTGTTTTATTAGGCTTTTCTGGAATTTTGGTTTGCAACACCGTAAGTTTATGCTGCAGGGAGGGGGGGGGGGGTTAACTTTCTGCACTTAACTGAAATATGACTGGCCCAACTTCCCTACAAAAATGTACTGTTTGGTCCTCAAGGGAAAAAGGGTTGGAGACTCCTGGTTTATACCGTTCCTTTTAAGCAAATTGTAGTCTATCAAATATATCTGGTTTTCGGAAAATAAAGTAATAAGTTAATAGTTGTTTGTTGACAAACAATCAACGTGGTTTTATACAATACAATACAAAACTTACAATGTAATGTGGTTCAGGTATTAGTCAACAAAAAGTAATATTGTACAATGACTTGCAAGTATAAACATGCCCCATGTGCAGTAACCTGTACATTATAGTTGACAGGTTTTTTTTTAAGTTGGTTCTTTAACAATTGTTTGGAATTTTCATTTTTAGTTTGATAGGTTTCCAGATATTAAAACGGGAATATCTGAAGAGCTGACTAGGTTTGATAATCTCTCAGTATTTAAATGTGTTTTAAAATAATGCTTAGCATACCTTATGTGTATACAAATATTGCCTAAGTAGGTCTAACAACTGATAAGAGTATATTACCGATGTATTACAGTGGAACCTCGAAAAGAAGACCCTCGATAACAAGTCACTCTTGATAACAAGTGCATTTTTCAAATCCCTCTAGGTGTATTATTTTACCTCTAAACACATGTTATTGCAAACCTCAATAAGAAGTCAACCTTGATAATCAGACTTATTTTATAACCCCCGTGAGAGTCTTGTTACAAAGGTTCTACTAGCTTAACACTAAATCTGGGTTAAAATGAGACAATCATACCTTGTAGATCCCTCTACAATATAAACATGCTCCTAAGGCTATAAATAGTTCATTATTTTATCATCATATTATGTTTGACTATGCATTTTTTGTATATTTTTGTTATGACCATACAGTTTAAACTATTACAAATGAATGAGGACTTGTAGTGAATGTGATTTAGGCTGAGATAGTATAATCTCTATTTATGGTATTGAACACAAGTTGAAATGGTTAGTTAATCAGTACAGTAGGCCTATACTAAAATGAGACTATGGCAATATTTTTTTAGAGAGCATAATTAAGTAATTGATAGAATATAACAGGAACAAAAAAAAACAAAATTCATTACAGTACAGTAGAACTCCTAATATTTGGCGTCAGAAATTTCCGGTCCTCAGTTTATCCGATCACTTCCCAGAAGCAATACCAAAAATATTTCCCGTGGCTGTACACGTAGTCTCCATGATTTGAGCGTTCTCACGGTTTATCTGCTTCCTGTTCATACACATTTTTAGCGGGATCATTACTCAGTTGAGCTAGTAGATTCCAAAAAGATACTTTAAACACTACTTTTAGAACCAATCACAAGTTGTTATTGGATACATATCATCGTTTTAATAATAGGTTGGTTTATACGGCCAAAATGTTATCCGGCCAGGGGCTCGGTCCCATGTAGGCCAAATATTAGGGGTTTTACTGTATGCGGTTAAGATTTGTCAATAATTTTTATCCGAACACAGTTACCTACCCATCCCTAAGAGTATTCATCAAGTTAAGTTCCTCAAAAAATGGAAAAGACACTCACATAATAGTTATTTTATATAGAAGAAGCTAGTTATTTTCCAATATTTAAATGATTGATAAATTTAAGATATTGTGGGGCCAAGTTATAGAAGATGAAAAAAAAACTTGGCTACTGTGAAAATTAGCTCGTTGAATTTAGGGTTCAGCTTAGAGGTCTCAATCCCAAGCAATCCATAATTCTGAAACCTAATAACTAGGTTTTAACACAGATATTACTGCTCAGTTCAATAAACTAACAAACAACAAAAGTACAATATGGGAGGAATCAGCAGCTACAGAAGAAAAGATTTTCTGTTGACTCAAATAAAACAATTTAAAATACAAAAAACAAATTGTCTGCTTATGTAGCAGCATGTGTACAAAACACTAATTTAGGGCTATAAAATATTTAGTAGGGGCCTACTCTAGTCTAAAACAAATTACAAAGATAAAATGATAGACCCTAAATATATGCAATCTTAGTATTGGCAACGCAATTGGTGTGTTTATAGTACAGTAATGTTTTTAGATTTCTTTTCAAATAACAAGGCGACCCCTGCATGAATTGCACATTTTAATAGGGATCAAAACTTATTTCCAAGGTAAAAATACCGTAATAATGCATTTTATTTTTCAAAGATCTAGATCTGCACCATAAAGACTGAAAAGTGATTTGCCTATCTCAATAAGGTTCCCATTAAAAAAGTAGCCTTTTAAAAATCCTTTTTTATAAACTTTTAACTGTTATGTCTGGTGTCTTGCTTACAGTCCGACTGTGGCTAAACAGCTGTTAGATTACAGTTCATACTTACTGTAATCCGTTTTAAAGAAGAAGTGGGGAACTCTAGTGAAATAATTTAAATGCAAGGGGGTGAAGCATTTAAAGAAATTTTTTCGTTACTATTTGCAAGTGCGCTGGATCAAGCTTTAAATGAAACCTCAATCGTGAAAATCGGTTTAGTAAATATGACAGCTGGAAAGGGATGTTACAGAGAAAACCCTTATTGTAGGTATTAAGTTTAGAAATTGAGAAAATAATAGGCCTACTACAATTAACAATCATCACATTATGTTTGCCATATCAATTGTGTTCTTTGTCTTTCATGTAAAGCAAAATTCAAATTAACTTCTTAATCAGCATATTACTTAAAACTTTGAAATTTTATCTCTAAATACATGTTAACTTTGCTAAGCACCTTTAGGATATTAGAGTTTAAGAAACTTATAAATAGGCTACCGATAATGGTAAATTACTTTTATCATGCACCATAAAATGTTAAAAAGTTATGAATTGGTCTTAACGTTTTCTTAATCTAAATTATACAAAACCAATCTATTGTTGAGTTATGGGAAAGCCTATACTGACTGAATGTGATCAACTGTTATCTTTCACCATATACATAGGCCTACTATTATATCCTAGTAAACAAAAAAACTGACTTACAGAAATTTCAATATCAAGAACTATCACAGCCGGAATCCTTATTGGTGGAGAGCATTCTTGCAATCGAAAAAGACATCTTATCTTCAGCCTCATCCAACGCAGTCTTGCCTTTAGTGTTGCGCAGTTCCAAGTTTGGACAATTTTCCATCAACAGTTTTACAAGACGTGTATTGTTTGTTTGACAGGCATAGTGAAGAGGTGTATTTCCATTCTGGTCCTGACAGTTTAGGTCACAGTGAGAGTCAAGAAGTACTTTGACGACATCCATTCTCTGGTGTAGACATGCAAGATGTATTGGAGTCATACTTTTCTTCGATTGAACATCAAGTACGGCACCAGCATCGATGAGTTTTTCAACAAGGTCCGTTCGTCCATGCATGGCCGCCACGTGGAGTGGAGTTAGACCTTCAACGTTGCAAGTGTTGACAAGTATCACATCGTGCGGAGTGACACCACCAATATCGTCTAGACCGGAGGAATGTTTGCAATCACACAAGGGATGACATTTCTTTCTTGGTGACACAGAATGACCCTCAAGACCTAGGTAAAAGCATGCCAATCGTATGTCGCCCTGGATAATGCATCGAAGTACCCGTTCAATCTTCTTGATTTCTTCAGTTGTCCGAGGATATTCACCACATGTTGGGCTCTTTCCTCTTTGAAGGTCGTCAGTAAAGTCTAGTCTTGCTTTCGAAGCTGCAGCCACTGTCATATCCAGCTTCTCTCTTTTAAACTGAGGAACAATTAACCTCACTCTACTTGTTGTCGGTCTCGTGTTTAGAAGCCTGGCAATATGAAGGTTGTGGGCATAGTCGATTGGAGTTAATTTACGCTTGTTTTCTATGGTCGGGTCTGCTCCAGCATTTAGAATTAGCTTGACAATCATTTCATAACCCCATCTGGAGGCATTGTGCAACGCAGTATCTCCATGATTGTTTCTTTTATTGATGTGTAACTCAGTCCCACTGTGTTCAGCAAAATAAACAATTGCCTTGACACACCCTTCATGACCGTTACTTGCAGCAAAATGTAGAGGAGTATTACCATCATTATCAAAACAGTTAATGTCGGCACCACTGTGAATAATGAGTAACAGTGCATTTTGATGTCCTCGAGATGAAGCATAATGCAAAGGGGTAGCTCCAGAGTAGTCAGTAGCATGAACGTTTGCACCGTGAGACAGAAGGATATCAACTACTTTGGGTTTGCCATACATACATGCTATATGAAGTGCAGTATATCCACGGTCATCGCAAGAGTGAATGGTCGGAGAGGTGTTTTTCATTATTTGTGAAACTTGGCTCTCACACTTATCACAAGAGCAGAGAGGATGACACAGCTTAAGGTTTTTCATAAATGTCTCGGTCTTACATTTTTCACATGAACATAAAGGATGACAAAGACGTTTGAGGTCGATGTGGCCTGCTTGAGCCGCAAATTCTTTCAAAATCCGTTCAACATCTTCTTCACTTCCCAGGCGAGCTGCATCAAATAGTTTACACAACGACTCATTTGTGCTGTCAGAGCTGCTGCCGGTACTTCGATGAGTTTCAAAAATTCCTGATACAGACTCTGTTTCGCTCTCTTCATCAAAAGTCAGCTGTGATTCTGGAGAAGAAGGTCCTGTTAAAATCCCTGACTTAACATGTTCTATGGCAGCTTCCAAAGAAGTCACCAAGAAGCTGTCTTGATCTACATGAACTTCGTTCGATGCTGAAAAATTAAATTGTCTCATATATGTAAGATGAGCGATCCAATTTGGAAGGCCTGATTTAATGACCAGAAAAATAAACATTGGAAGTAAATCATCTGCGGCTACAACATTGCCTTGCTTGGAGTTTGACAAGTCTTGACGTGAAATAGCAGCTAGTGTTCTTTTGAGACATCCGACTTTGCCTAGCACAGTACTGTAGCCATCAACTCGAGCTAATTCACTTCGCGCTTTGGGCACAGTATCAGCTAGATCGCTGCGAATGTCAAGATCCCTTAGCTGGATGTCTGCAAGGTTTCTCACAGTTTTGTTGAACATGCTGTCTTCAAAGGCAGTACAAGCTGTTATTCCTTTGATTAGTTTCTTGTAAATCCCATGATGTACATAAGATTCAACACTCAGTTTGATATTTTCCAAAAAATGACGATTCATGTTTGCCTTTTCTCTGATCCTACTATCTTGCATTGTCATTTGAAGACAATGGACGTACAAGTTGCTGGTTATTTCTTTCTGTATTTGCAAAGGTTTGAATTCAAGACGGTGATTTCTAGACAAAAACAATGCAATTGTTTCGTCCATTTTTTCTAAAATGTCTTTACTGCCACTTTCAGTCCAAATTAAATCAATACAATCTCGCAGAGTTTCGATTGAGACAATGCCTGTTTCACAATTAAGTTTATTCGGAAACTGTTCTAATGGACTATCAATACAGAGCACCTTATATTTAAGCATGTCTTCAGTATAAAATGTTTCTTCAAACAAAACATGAGTGCTAAAAGGACTTGAATTACTACCTGGTTCAACAGTTACAACCCTATTACAGATTCTTACATCTTTATCATTTAAAGTTCTGAAATGTGTTTCTGGCAGCTCATCACTCGGTATTAAAATATGATTGAAAAAATCTTCATGGTTTAAGGCATACCTAGGTAGAGATCCAGCTCTGGGGACACAAATAACCCAACCATCTACAGTGGCTTTCTCAAACAGCTCCAGGTGGCTTTCTTGAAGAACTTGGAAAAAAATATTGTCATTTAAATCCTCATCATAGTTAGACTCCATATTACCAAAACATAAGATCCAAAATAGGCCAAATAAATGTCTAGTGTCAACTAAATTCACTGTGTAAAAACTTTCAAAATTACAGTTTAGTAACCTATCAAACTTTTTACTTATAGCAAACCAGCTAGCAGACAGTTACATAACCAAACAGAAACTAGATCTATTATTTATTGGTCCGTTCCTGTGGGTGGGTGTGGACTGTGTGCTCAAGTCAGATTGAATTTGAGTTGAGGTAAAACCTCGAAAAAGATCTTGAAGGATGTGTTACGAGCCTAGCAAGTTCCAATTCCAACCAAATACTTCCAGCCCAGTCCGATTCAGTCTAGTCCTACTGGACTGACCATAAAAACTCCACTTGACCGCTTCATTCTTTTTTTTATGTACAGGGTCTGGTCTTACCGCCAAAACGAGTTAGGTAAAGTGCCGTTTCCCGTTATAACCTAAAAGTGGTTAAAATTAAAAACTATGGGATAAATGTAACATACCCCATCTTACAACTAATATTTTTAAATGTCAATTTTGAAATAATGTTAAACTTACTTGGATTTGTCCCTTTTTGTTGTTGTCAAACATATATCCGTTTAAATGAGCCATTCTTCCAATTCTTGATTAGCCTAAAACAACGCAAAACTAATAGGAGTATTGTCAAATACTTATTATATTATGGAGGAATGAAACCTTGCAATGACAAGCTTATTGGAATAGTACTCACGATTGCTAATATAGCAAAAGCAAGCAAACTGAAAATGTAATGTAAAAGAGTTAGTTAGAGACAAGACGCCGTAAGTCGTGAGTTCTGTTCTATTGTTTTGTTTGTTACTTTGACTGACTGACTGACGTTGAGTGAGGAGGAGGAGAGTTGAGTTGAGACTTGATGGTGGAGTGGAGTGGGGAGCAAGCGGCAGCCACGGCGGCACGGTGCAGCAGAAAGGAAATTTCGATTCCGAAATTCCACTTACAATACTAACATAAATAGTATTTTTTTATTAATTTATAAAAATACCCCCGCCACAGCAAACCTACCAACTAAGTGAATTTCCATTTGTGTGAATTGATTTTCAATCAAATCTATTCAGATAACATGAGGTTAAACGAGTACTAAGGGTTGCTGTACTAGGAAACATAAAGTGTGTTTTTTTTTTGTAAAATATTAAAAGCTTAGTATAAAATTAATGAATTTGCCAAGTTTGATCAAAATAACCCTCAAGCAAACTACAACGTTTTACAATATTCTCCAAAAGCATAACATGGAAATTTTAAATTTACATTTTTTTTAATTTTCTGCTTTACCAGTAACCATACTTTGATATACTATTTTTTTTAAGCTCTATAAAAAGGTCTAAAGAGAAATTGGGAAGTTTTGTGTTTTGAAGGTCAAAAATTAGAAAATACCATTTTTACCCTATAAAACCCCCCGTAAAACACCGATCCCATGGTCCGATCCTACTGGTTCGCGAACTCATTCACGTTTATCCCACCTTACACCTTTAAACCAAATTTCATCAAGATCGGACAATTACTCAAGTTACCTATCGTGTTCACAGACGTATATATAAATATTGGTGTTTTTGGCCATTTAAAATGGTCAAAACCCTCTGGGGACATCAAAACGAAAAAGTAAATCAGTCCCAGGCCTATGTCTTACCGAGCCACTTACGGTAATAGCTACTTCCCTATAGGAAAATTCTCTTAAAATAGCAAAGCAGCTCTGAAAGCTGTGTTGAAAACAGGACGACACTTCAAAGATTCGTTTGACGAAGATATAAATGAAGATTCAAGCCATTTTCTTAAATCTGTAATGATTGCTGCACCCCTTACTTATTTAGTTAATAGCTGCTTGACTGAAGGTGCATTCCTGACAATCTAAAGATTGCAAAAACAACACCAATCTACAATAAGGGATCTTGCGCTGCCTGCCAATTTCAAGCCATCATCATCAGTTCTTCCTGTTTTTTTCTAAGGTTAAGGTGGTAGTTACGAAACAACAATTGGGGGCCGTTTTTGAGAACAGAACAACAACTTGTTGTTGAACAAATCCCAACCTGGGTTTAGGACTGGATGATCCACAACCTCTGCACTCCTTAGCCTGATCAAGAACATCTCTGGCGCCTTTGAATCTATAATGATTGTCCATCTTAGTCTTTGTTATCTTAGCAAGGCGTTTGACGTGGTCTCTCAGCGCATGATGCCCTCCTTACCAAGCTTGTCATGTATGGCATCACTGGAGTTGTCCAAAAATTGTTATCCAACTATTGAAAAACAAGAAACAAATTGTTTCACTGCATATGGAGCCTCCTCTAAACATCAGTTAAATGCACCATGGTGTGCCCTAAGGTTCGATTCTGGACCCTTTCCTGTTCGCCATAATGAGCAATTATCTATCCCTTAATTAACAGGCGCATGTTGCTCTTCGCATACGACACAACATTACCTACCAGGCGCAGCAACCTGAAAAGGACCTACGAATAGATGCAGCATTCCTATTGGATGAAGCTAAAAGAGTGGTTTGTACTGAACCGTCTCAATATCAATTACGAGAAGATACAATACATCATGTAGTACATTTGGAACTAGGGGATGGGATAGTGGGGTTGTAATAAAGGCATGAGCTAATGAGCTGGTTGATTCTTCTAGTTTGTACCAACCAACTAACAATGTAACAGTCATTTTACCACGTTTCGATTTTCTAGCAGACTTGCCATTGCCAGTGCTACCTCCAGCTGTACTTCTAGCTCAGTCATCATATCTCATAAACCTTTGTTCATGACAATAGTGTCTTCATAGGCATAAAGGCCAAGTATTTTCCACGGATATTGAATTTTGACTGTTACTGTTCACTTAGTACATAAAATCAAATGTGTTTACATTTGGGTCAGTCACGTCATTTTTCATGTTTATGATGCATACCATATTAACCCTTTGAGGTCTGTTATGAAGTCTCCCTGATGTCCTTTCATGTATCTCAGGCCACTAATAGTGCCCAGAACAATTCCTCAGTCAAGTGGTGGTTACGCCTCGCGTCTGTCCCTCAGATTCATTAGGCCACTTATTGCGCCCACTAATGATAGGCTTGAACGCTCTCTATGCCACTCATAGTGCCCAAGCTATAAATTTGTCTGTAAAAACTATTATTCTGTAGTTCCCTAGATTCTGGAAGCTGTGTAATAACCCATGTAGCACAGATGGTTGGGCCAACGTTGGTAAATTGTGGAGCCACACAGTTGGCCAACGGTAGAAATGTCACCTCTTTAAACTGTTTTCCAGCCAACCTTTGTCCAACAATGGCCCAACCAAAATTATTTCACACAAAATAATAAAGATTTAGTACGAAAAGCATAATTATTAGTTGAGTAAATTGATTAAATAGTTCATAAAAACAAATTTTGAAAAAAAGCTGGAACAAAATTTTTTGGCCCAGACGGGTCTCGAACCCGGGTCCTTCGACTTATGAGCCTCTTACCTTACCACTGAGCTATCTGTGATTGTTGATACAGAGAGTTTTCAAGTGGTGAAAGAGTAGCCGACAGTTGCAATGGTCGCAATACTTCAAACATTTTTGATACTACACAGTATAATATGATTCTGTTAATCTGTTAAGGCATCATAAGTAGTTATTTTTTTTTTGGAGTTAGAGAGGATACTGGTATTTGAATATAGATTAATTAATTACCGTTAGATTATTAATGATATTATAATTGACTGTTATATGATTAATTACTCTTTCCCCTTAAATTGTTGCAAATAAGTTAAAGAATATTAATTTAAAAAATATTTGCATTATTATAATTATTAAAATTCATTGTTGTAGCCCCGGAACTGTAATATATAAAATATCTGGTTTTACAATACCTTTATCAGTTCCAAAAACTTTTGGAAACTTTTGGAACTGATAAAGGTATTGTAAAACCAGATATTTTATTATAATTATGTTGTGAAAGCTAGACCCAGAGAATGAAAGTCGTGTAAACTCAACTATGGACCATCGTTGGTCCAACAAAAGTATCTTTTGTTGGTCCAACGGAGTGAAAAACGGTTGGACAACGGTTGGCTTGATGTATGATACCCAACAATGCATATTAATGTATTTAATTAACAATGATCCGATGTTGGTCCACAGTTGTAAATATTGGTTGGCCCAACTACGAGATATACAGTTGGACAACGGTTGGTTGGTTGTGGAAGCTCCAACCAACCATCGACCAACTGTCCCACAGTTGGCCAACGTTGGCCCAACCATCTGTGCTACATGGGAAGTGCTGCACTTTGTTCAACACGTTTACTCCCAAGTAGCAAAAATCGTTGGCAAATCGTTGGCCCAACGTTTCTGTCGATCGTTGGCCAACGGTATGTTTTGGCACTCAGTCTTACGGTTGGCCAACCAACCAATTTTTGTGGAAGGGCCAACCATCCCATTGGGCATAAACATAAAAAACACAAAATAATAAAGATTTTGTATGCAAAGCATAATTATGAGTTGAGTAAATTGATTAAATAGTTCATAAAAACTTATTTTGAAAATAAAACGAAATAAAATTTTTGGCCGGGACGGGTCTCGAACCCAGTACCTTCGACATGTGAGCCTCACGCCTTACCACTGAGCTAACCGTGCTAGTTAATAATGAGCGTTTTCAAGTGGTGAAAGAGTAGCCGACAGGTGCAATGGTCACAATTAATACTTTAAATATTTTTGATGCTACAGTATAATATGATTCTGTTAATCTGTTTAGGCCTCAAAAAGCGAATTGTTTTTCTGGTAGTTGGAGAGGATACTACTATTTGAATATAGATTATTTAATTACCATAAGATTAGTAGGCCACTGTTATAATTGATTGTTATATAATTAATTAATCTTTTATCTATAACTATTAAAAACTTGCTTAAATAAGTTAAAGAATATTAAAGAAAAAATTAATTATAATAATTATTATATGTCAAGCAGGTGTTCCCCACTGTATCTAGTATCACAACACCATCTGACTACATTCATTATTGATTCAAATTGTCTTATATTCTGCTGCCATAAAATTTATGTACTATTAAATAAATCAATTTGTTAAAATTCGTTTTAGAATGTTTTATACTTAAACCCAACGAAGGCCCAACGATTCTTTCCTTTGTAGGGCCAACGAATACCAGTTTCCGTTGGGCCAACGTTGGCAAATCGTTAAAATTTCTGCCAACCATTTCCCAACCGTGCCGACCATTTCCCAACGTTGGGCCAACGATGTGTGCTACTTGGGCTTATTTACAAGTACGTCATTCAAGCTAGTGTCTAGCCGTCTGTTTTAGGAATTACACTCAACGAGCAGTGGTTCTCGTCCCCAACTTATACTATCTTAAATACTTTTATGTTCGTACAGTTAGGATATTGTATGTTTAGTTTGTTTTTTATGTATGTTGTGAAGTTAATTAATAATTGAAATAGGAATTCTGACTATAATGGATTTACTGGATGTAGTTTTGGGATTTCATATCAAGTAAATTTTTATTCGTGTTTTAAACTTTTTAGTTATGGAAAGATACATTTGATTTCAAACGCAATAAACTGAAATGTTTATTCCATCTCTACTTTAAAGTTTTTTAATTATAGGTTTTATATGTTTACCTCCATTTGTCAAACGAGCTTCCAGAAACAGCTATACCTACTGAGGACAGCTGTTCAATAAAATGGCACACCGACCTGACGCCAAAACAACAGTGGGCACTATTTGTGGCCTAGTGTATCTTTGTGGACAACAGAGATTACCTTTAACAAAAAAACTAAAAATTTATACAAATTGATGTTAAATTTGATGCCATATTTATCTTGAAATGGACAGTGGGCACTATAAGTGGACTATAGACCGCTAAGGGTTAAAGTACTTCATCTAACACATGTATCAGAAGATACTATGTCTATGTCCACATCCATTCTAATATGACATATTTCCATAGTTTATTTCGTTACACTAATCACCTTCATCATAGTTTACTTACATGCTAATCATTCCATAATATTTGTCATTTTTAATATATAATACACATCAAATCTAAACTGCGAGTTAGCAATTTGAATTTTGGTACTCTTTGGAATGCCAATGAAACTCCACGTTTTCCAGTTGTCTGTTGAGTTGTTCGGTCAGGAGGCTTTCTCCTTCTTTCTGTGTTCTGTGTTCTGTCCAACTGTCCAACAAAGCGTAAAGCGTCTGTAACCCTTCTTCCATACTCATTTTTGGACACAGCTAGCTGTTGACGTGTACTGACTGAGTTAAATTAGTATTGTTGTTCAAGAGTGAAAAATGGTAAGCCTTTATAACTAATAACTTTTATATTATAAGAGATTTTTATTTATTCCAAATTTACAACTAATTCACTGCAAATAGGTTACATTCATTCTAATTTTTAGAGCAATATTTGTGATTGTCTTAGGCTAGTCTTTGCAATGTGTGTCAACTAGTTACTGTAATTGCTTTGATTTTCACTTTTAGTTTTATTACTCTCTTTACAATTGCCTTTAGCCAAAGTGTATTAACTCAAATATAAATATATCAATTCATCTAGACAGTTCAATTTTATAAATTAGTAAATCTATAATATATTTAATTCTTTTATAGAAGAAACTTCTGTTAACTTTGCTGAAAATATTGATTGTTAATATCATTCCTTTACTAAGCTTAATTTCAATTATAAGGACCTAAGGACCTCAAAACGAAAAAGTAAATTGGTTCTGGGTCCAGGTCTTACCATGAGACCTACAGTACGGTAGCCTACCTAATAGCTTATTCCCCATAAGTTATAGGAAATTTGCTAAAATCATTCAAGGGCTGTTATTAAGAATTCTTACAAAAATTCTTTTTTTAGCCTGCTCCACCAAGCTCAACTACAGTTGGATCTGGAAGTAGATCTCCATCCAAAGCCGTAGCCCCCAGGTCATCAACTGGTGGAACTGTTAGACAAAGGCAAGTAACAGCACAATTCTTTTAAGTTTAACCCTCCGAGTTTTAAGCGTCGTATAATCGACGCACAACACACCCGCCGTGGTGTTATGCGTCGCTTTAGCGACACATAAACATCGTTTACGCGCGAAGGCTCTGGGACTGACTGAATCAGATTGAACTGGATCGAGATTGGTATCATTGTTTTCAGCAGATTCTAAGCTTTCTCCTGATGTCTGTTTCTAGATGCTTTTCATTTTAGTTCCGAAAATATTGTAGCAGACAGATGACGTGCTTATTTGTAAACAACTTGGTTAACCTCGCACCGATTACTGATGTGTTTTATTACGTTTATCATTGTTTTAGTGTTAAAAATAAAAAGTAGCCTATTTGCATCCTAAAATAATAGAAACAAAATGTTGTCGACACTAACGCCCAGGGTCACCGGACATGAACGAGACACAAAAAACGAGCTTCAAAATTTACAATGGGATGAGAAGTCTAACTTACTTGTGGTTGGTTAGTCTATGCTACAAGGTAAACTCCAGAACCACTGGAATGTCTTAATATAATTTCAACCAATCCGACCAGCAGTAGGTTATGAGAGTTTGAGTCCCAAATAAAGAAGCACGCAAACTTTCAGCTTCATAATAGATAGTCTTTAAAAAAAATTAAATAGTATGAAAATGGAAAAGATAGTGTTTTTAATACAAGCTTTTCTGAAATTTTAATAATCTTAATGAGTATTTGAACTGCAGGAAAACAGCCCCAACAACATCTGCTCGAAACCGCAACACTGGCACCAACAGCGGAGGCATGTGGAGGTTTTACACTGATGACTCTCCTGGCATCAAAGTGTAAGTTAGGTCGCTTATTACTAGCATTTCCAGTTGTGTTCATCCCAAGAACATAGGCATACCCTAGCCAAATTTATGACCAAGCAGTTGAAGTGCTAAACCATTGCGTACTGGAACTTTTTTTCAGAATATTTCTAATTTTGCAACAATTGTTATATGTAGGCCTAGTTATTATATTAATTGCATAAAAGTGTGAAACTGAACTAGACAGTGAAGATAAGGTTGTATGAATTGGTAGCAGTGGTGTTTTAGCAAATTTCCTATAGGGAATAGGCTATTACCAGAGTACTCATGACAAGACCTGGACCCAGGATGGTTTTACTTTTTTGTTTTCAGGTCCATAGAGACCAAAAACACCATCAGTTCTTTTTATGGCTACTTTTTCAATAAATAAGTGAAATAAATCTGGTTGTTATTAATTCACTTATTTAGATATATATTGAATAAATATATCGTTCACTATTGAGGGCTACTATTATTATAAGTAAATGAAATAAATAATTAAACATTTGGTACCCTTTAACCCTTTGAGTGCCATGCAACGATATATCGTTTTGCACAACACATCTGAAAAATACTTCACGATATATCGTTGTCGGTAGTCTTACCGAAAAATACATTGCAACGATATTTTGGGCCGGTGCTACTTTCGATCATGTGAGTTTTAATGGGCACATCAGTTGACTCGGCTGTTATTTTAAAACAACGATGATTTCAATCGATTTCTCATACGATCGAGGCACGATATATCGTTCCATGGCACATTTGGGATGAAAATTTATACTTTTACTGATTTGTATTCTTGCGCACTAAGCTTTGTCCCTATGGAAAGCCTGGCACTTTTCGGACATACCTAGTAAAAAACGTTGGCACTTTTTGGAAAGTACCAAAATAAATTTCTGGCATTCAAAGAGATAAATTATTAATTTATTGAACAACTAACATGTTTCGGCTCTTAGGCCATGATCACAGTTATTGATAAATAGAAATGTAAATAAATAAGTAAATTATCGCTCAGGCGTTGTTTACTTTTGATTTATTATATAAGATTTTTTCATACATAGTCCAAGCAAACTAAAAAAACTTTCATAAGGATCGTTAAAAAAATTGCAAGAAAACGTTTTATGGTTTTATTTTGTAGTGTTGGGTTTGCAGAATGTTATACTAAAAGTTGCCAAAAATTGGTGCACGAGAAAACCACTAAAATCAAAATTTAAAATGGCAGCGTTTATTAACATTGGACAAATTAAAAAAAATATATTTCACATGCATTTGTTATGCACATTTTTCGAGATATTGACTTGGGACCACCACCTGTATTAATTAGGTGGTTAGTACTTGATTTTGATAGGGAACACGTTTTTGGCCGCCATCTTGGATCCGCCATATTGGACATAGATAATGTTTTTGCAATGTAATGATAGTGTTGTGACACATCGTTACAAACTATATTTTTACACTGATTTCAATGCCGAAATTCGTTTTTCAATATATTTTTTCATTTAGAAGATATACTCAAACGAAAACTCTCCCCCATACATTTCTTATGGACGTTTCGTAGTTTGATAATTTTTTAAAAATTATTTTTCTTATACCTCCAGTTCTTATTAACGCTTACAGTTCGTACTAGGCTTAAAATATTCAGTAATGTAAGCACTTTCATTTGAGACCTTGAGCAATAAAATCGGACGAGTTAAAAAACAGCTACAAACCTCAGAACAATATTAAATTTAACTTTTTAGAAATATATTTTTATTAAAAGATTTATAACTCGGGTTGTTAATACGTCACCAAGTTATTTATGGTCTTTAATTACTTAGCAAATATTTGGCTTTAATTTTATTAATCACTCAATAAAATCTGACAAATCTGAAGTGAGCCATGGACCTTAATTTACATTAAATCATTTGTATTTAGAAATTTGTCTTTGGTTTAAGACATATATCCCCAATTATAAATAACTAACAAAGAGTAATCTTTAGCTAAAATAAAGTCAATAATTCGGTGAATTATTTAAGACTATAAGAGTTTTGGGAGTTATTTAGAATTAGGGATATACGTCTTTAAATAAAGACAAATTTCAAAATAAATACAATTTAATGTCAAATTAAGGTCCATGACTCATTTTAAAATGGTCACATTTTGGTTAATGATTAATAAAATCAAAGCCAAACATTTACTGAGTAATTTGAGACCAGAAATAACTTGGTGACGTATAAACAACCCAAGTTATAAATCTTTTAATAAAAATATATTTATAAAAAGTTAAATTTAATATTGTTCTGAGGTTTGTAGCTGGTCTTTAACTCGTCCGATTTTATTGCTCAAGGTCTCAAATGAAAGTGCTTACATTATTGAATATTTTAAGCCAACTTTTAGTATGTCATTCTGCAAACCCAACACTGCAAAATAAAACCATAAAACGTTTTCTTGCAATTTTTTTAAGGTCATATCCTATATTTCTCTGACTAACAGTATATTAGGTTTTTTTTATGAAATTGCATTGTATTGAGTATGTTTTCAGGATCTTTTAATGGTTTCTATATATGTAGAATTCTTCTTTAATGAATAATTTGTCTTTGTTTGGTTCAAATTCAATTAACTTAGGTACTGATAAATTATTTTCTTTTTTTAATATTTATTAGTTTTTAGTAAGTGCTCTGCGTATTTAGATTTGATTTGAAACATATACAGGCATTTAAATCTAAAAATTCCACAAGTATGAAATCAAAATGATAATCAACATAAAGTAGATTTCTTATCCTATCGTTAAATCTGAAGCGTGTTTTGAGAGTTCACTGATGTACCTACGGAATGTTTTTTTAATCCAGGAAAAATTTTACGGATAGTGAATTACTTTCTTGTTACAATGAAGGAGCCATTTATTTTATAAATATATTTTTTTAACTAGTTTTGAAAAACTACTTATGTTATAACGTAAATTGACTCCAGATTATCCATAAGACGATAGATTAATGAAGGAGTATTTTAAAACTATGTTAATAGCCAGCTGAAATGCAAAAAAAAATTGATGAAACGTAAGAAGCCTCGAAGATAATTAAATTGATGAGTCTATTGTTTTACATTTTACTAAAAGTAGAATTGCAATTGTTGCAGTGGTCCTGTGCCAGTCTTGGTGATGTCTTTGTTGTTTATTGCGTCAGTCTTCATGCTTCACATCTGGGGAAAATACACAAGAGGTTAAACAGTCTAAATGCATTTCTATCATTCCAGCTGCGTCATGTCATACGATTATTTATATCTTGTTTGTATGTTTAATAATTTATATTCATTTATGTTATACATAAATAAAAGATAACATGTTTGTAATATGTATTATTGATTCCTTATCACTGGCAAAACTAATTTTTAATTAGCAAGACTGGAAGATCCACCACAGAACCTGAAATGCACATAAAAAGTATAATCATGCAAAGTTCTGCTAATTTTTTAGACCGTTGCAATTAAAGCTTACGCAATCTGGGAACAATAGTAAACGACTAAACAAGTTTACACCAGTTTGAATATAACTAATGTTGATGTTATATTCAGCTTTTTTCATTTTTCCTCAGTACTCCATGGTATGGTACTGAACTGATGGGTTATGAATAACACCATTATAGCAATTAATTTTACTATGAGGATAAAACATGTTATAGCTTATTGAGTATTTCCAGTTAGAGGAAGTTTTTTTTTTAAATGAACTTGACCTTCAGGTAAATTGAACACACATTAGGGGAAGAATAGTTTAATGGTTAACAATAAATTGTCAAATCAGGGAATAAAATAACTTAAGACAACAGGTTCTTGAACAACAAACATCTAATAATCTTAAAATAAGTTTAAAAACAACTATACAATTTGTATTTATAGTATTTACATTACCTATCGATGTAGTTGTACATAAGTTAGTATTTTGATTAAAATGCTAAGATATTATGATCAATGTTTCTAAACAGATAAAAATTACCACTGTCTATTACTGACTTTACCGTATAACAATTTCTTTTTATAGATTGAACCTAAAAATTTAATATATTTTAGCTATACTGAGCATTAACTATTGTATTTTATTTTCTTATAACGAAGTAACAAATCTAAATATAACCATTTTAGTTTTAAAATGGTGTTAAATAATTAAAAATCAAAATTGTACTAAAAGGTGGAGTTCTAACAATTAATTATATTTGCTACTAAGGCACAGATTTTTGGACCTAAGATCTACATACAACAGTCAATATTGGAAATGATAAGATTTTTAAACCATGCACCAAAGTTAATAGAATCAATAAATATCTATTTTCTTGTATTGAGTAAGCTAGAGGTCACTGACTATACCTCTATACCTATTGTAATGTGTAAATAGTCAATGGTACAAGTTACTCCATGTTTTTTAAAGACAAACCAACAATGACACAAACAAATAAATAAAAAATACTTAGGGTACTAACAATAAACTAATATAGTACTTCAGTGATATGTTAATAAATCCTAATTTTACTTCATTTTACGGAACAGAAAAAAACACTAGGAATGCAAAACTATTAGATTCGCAGGAATAAAAAAAAGAGTGTATAAACATAAAAGTGATAACATACATATAAACTAATAAAAGATCTTCTTCACTGATTATATTATAACTGTTAAGTTATACATTTCAATATAAATAAATAAAAATGTTAACGGTATAAACGTTTGATATCTTAAAAATCAAATATCCAAAGGTTCTTTGGGATCATATTTCAAGTCCAACAAAGTTAAACACTTAAGAAGATCAAAAGCTTCCTAATCGCTTTTGCCTCAAGATGTGAATGCTATTTTTCACCAATATGAGTTTTAATTCTATTAAAACTCAAATCTCAATATCTTAGTGTGGTGAAAAGACAAAATATTTTAAATGCATAATCTAACGGCTATAATAATAAAACTAATTAAATAGTAAAGTAAAATTACTTCTATAAGGAACAACAAAGAAATAAGATAAAATGTAAATTAAACAGTAAATATTCTCACAAAATTAAAATTAACTTAAATAAAGTGGAAGGAATATTGCACAGATAGCTTACAAAAAGTTAATATTTCTTAGCCTAATGGTAAGTCTCAAATGGTGGTATCCGAGAGATCGTATACACTGTCCTGGAACCTCCATCAATTGTCTCTTTCTGGAAATAAGAAACAAATTAATTGCAAATTAAATTTTAACAACTTCCAATCTTAATATCCATATATTAATTACGTAAGCCTTGAGCTAACGTACGTAAGTTTTGCGTCAAAATTGCGAGCGACTGGGAAGTTGTAGAACGACAGGAGAGGGCTCAAATTAAAGGTCTCGATCCCATGACGGCGGGAAAAATAGTGAAATTCCCCAAATTTTAACACAAAATTAGATAGGGCCTATAACGTAAAATGTTCTCTATAAGAATAACATTAGAAGTCATTTACTGCTGATTTATGTTTACTTCAATACAGCTGATCATGACTTACCATCAAGCCAGTATAAGCAATATAACATTTTATTTGGATTACTCATTTGCTAGTCAATTTTGCAATGTACTGTACTATATAAAACCAGGGTGGATAACATTAACTATAATATATTTTTAATATATGCATATTGACTTATGACATTTTATATTTGTATTGGCATCAGTGATGTAACGGATAATTCAGTTGAATAAATTAATACAGTTGGTTGAGCATCAAACCAATCACCGATAGCGTCCTATCCCACCTGTCCGGTATGATCCTTCTCTTCGGCCTCAGTTGCCCGCCACCTACACCGGCTTCACTATGTAACGTTTCCTTCACTGTATTAATGTCAACTGGCGGTAATTCAATTAAGGTACAATGCGACTTCTTATTTTCACCACGGTATTACGAGTTCTTTAAGTAGTGTTAAGAAAAGTGTCAATAGTTCAGTGAGTACGAATAGTATCATAATCCCCAGTGTGTGAAATGTACAAAAAGAAAAAGAAAAGGTGTAAATTCATTAACTGTGCGTAAAGAGACAATTAGAACGAACAAAAAACGTGGAGAACCATGGAACTAAAAAGTAAATAACAGTGATGGTGTTAAATGTGCTCTGAAAGTTCCTAAAAACACACACACAGACTCTTTGAATTGGGGTCGTTAAATTGGATTTGTCACTACTGAAAATCTATGAATTTAGAGTCATAGAGAACAGACTAACAGGGACACAAATATATTCTCCTTACGCTCACATTGTCACAAGGGGGAGGTAAAATTAGCTCCTTGTCAACATTCTGAGTTCATAGAAAAACAAAATACAAAGATAAAAAGTATTTGTTAATTATTATGTCTTTTATTGCTGACAACATTCCCGTGGCGGAGCACTAGTTCAACATTAATGGAAAACTTCTGCTTTGTTTTGATTTAAAAACATATTATGTTAAAGATTCATTCTGCTCTTTTTTGTGTATTAACTAACATTTTTATTTGAGATTTATTGTAGTGTTTAATCAATACTAGTAGTTACCCGGCGTGCGTTGCTGCACTTAACAACTATTATTTTAAACTAGGTTGCTTTGAAGGCTTACGCTTACGACAATTCTTCTAACTGCGACAAAAATAGTGAAATTATTAAAAAATGTGAGCAATTAGCATTGTTTAATGAGTAGGCTAGTAAATAGGTGTAGAAACAATAATGACTAATACAAAATATGTTAGTTACAAAATATGGTTGATCATTCAATTAATAACATATTTCTTATACCGTCCATCATAGGAGTTATTGTTCCTTTGTTAACTGGTTTATCTTCTTTTTTATGAATAGTATAATATATGGAATGTTTTTGGAAGAATCTTTAAAATAGTATTAAAATCGTTTTTTAGGTGGATCTTTTGTGGTACACACTTCTGCGATTTCATCAGTGCTATGCAGATTAAATCTGTGTTTTTTTTTTAATATCTGTTTGTTGAGAAGGCACGTTCTTACTTCAAAGAGAGGCCCATCCTTATGCTGTGTAAGTTTTATTTTTCCTTCGCCACGTCGGTCATCATACCATATACTTCTGTGCCAATGAATAACCCTCTATATTTAGCAATAATATTTTTTTAGCATAACTTCGATTACATGATATGCGGATGTCAGTTGTCTCAGCCTTATCAATTACATAAAGTGTTCAATATATATCTTGGGAATGTTAGGTGTAGTGGAATATACTTGTAGTGAAGCTGGCTTTTATTCTTAAATGAGGGACCTCGTTTCAAGATTCGTTTCAAGACCAGATTTTAAAATGTATTTCATGATGTAGTGATGGACGAGACTAGATTTTTCACTTCGAGACGAGACGAGACGAGATTTTTTTAATTCCCGCGGGACGAGATTTTTTTTCGGGACGAGATTTAATGAAAAGTTATAAAAAATTAATATCTACTTTTTAAGTTCAGATATATTTACAAGTTCTAAGAACTTGGCAAAAAATAGACAAAAATATTTAATATCTTTTATTGAAAACATTGATAAAAACATCAGTAGCCTATATAAAAGAAACGAATAAGGCCTAACTTATTAAAAATAACTCTTCGGCATAGGAAACATGGAGATGTCAGTTGGTATAATATAGTTCAACTTTGCAAAATATAAAAAACAACAGTATTACTAGTTAAGTATCAAGTAACAATTTTAAGTCTTGTGTTATTAATAGAATGATTTTGGAGTAAATTATATGTTTACAGTAGTAAAACATGTCTCACACTGCTTACACCAACAAAACTTTTCATTTGCTATGCAAAAAAAAATATAAAATGATTGAAGCAATATTTCCTTGTAAAGAATAAATAATTAAATAAACGCCTTTGCAGTTTTTTTTATTTTAAAATTTTTATTAAAAAAATTTTTTTTTTAATTTTAATTTTTTTGAAATTTTAAATAAAAGGTTGCAATGTACGTTTCACAAAAAACTTAGTTTTTTTAAAATTTTAAGAATATAAATTTTTTTAATTTTAATTTTTAAAATATATTTTTTTTAATATAAAATTTTTAAAAATTTAAATTTTAAATTTCTAAATTTTTTATTTTTTTTATTTTAAATTAAAAGTTTGCAATTTACGTTTTGCAAAAAAACTTAGCAGTTTAAACTTTTTTTTGATTTGAAATTGATCTTTTTTATTTAATTTTTTTAAATTTAAATTTAATAAAATTTTTAAAAATTTTAAATTTTAAATTTAAAGGTTTGCAAATTACGTTTAGCAAAAAAACTCAAATGTTTTAAATTAACAAAAAATTAAAATTTGTTTGAATTTAAAATTTCAAAAATATTTTAAAATTTTTGTTTTTAATTTTTAAATTTGTTTTTATTTTAATTTTTGTTAAATTTAAATTTTTTTTAATTTTAAATTAAAAGTTTGCAATTAACGTTTTGCTAAAAAACTTAGCAGTTTAAAAAATCTTTTTTAAATTAAAAATTTTTAAAAAAATTTTGATTTTTTTTTTTTTTTTTTTTTTTTTAATCTCGTCTCGAAAATATCCCGTTAGCATTTTAATCCCGCCCGAAGCTTCGAGATAAAATAAATCTCGAAAAAATCTCGAAGTTTCGGGTCTTGTCCATCACTATCATGATGTCCATTTGTTCCCTCAGTATTCTGATCCTAAATATATATATCAAAATCTCTTCAAAATTTTAAAGGATTTGATTTGATTAGAGTGGTATTTGGAGAAGGCTTACTGGGACGGGTGGCGTCGTCCTGTAATCCAGCTACTAGGAGGTCACAAATTGTGGATATTTATAGGGATGCATTGTGGATGCGATGCTCCCTGGTGTGGATTAACACGACTATCCGCAGTACTATCCTGATAATTAGACCAATTCGTAAATTACAAGGAAAAAATGTGGTTCGGATTCCACAATAAACTGTAGGTTCCTTAGTTGCCATTAGCTGTATGGGCTATTAATTAACAGCTGTGTCTAAGGAACATGTCAGCCTTAATCACTAACAAGACTACAAGATCGCGCCACTCATCCTACACTCGTCCTTCACTCATATTTGGGTTAAAATACGCACATAGTGGCGTCCCCATCTTAAATAATTGATAATTGATATTTGGTAGAAGAGTTTTTGGATGACAAATAATATCTGAATGTAATAATTACTACTCTTAAACTTTTACCAGATGTAGGAATAGTACCTTTTGTTTCAATCGACTTTTCAGATAAAGATAAAATGACTTATTTGTGTCAATTGTATTAATGCCATGTGATGACTCTATGTTACCTGTTAGTGGCCCAGTGCCATCTCATCCTCAGGATGTTCTAGAGGGTCTACGATGGTGAGTTCTGATTGGTCTGCCTCACTGCTCAGGGTGATCATCATCTTCTCGTCCCCCGAGGAACTGTCGTCTGCTGAGGCTGACTGGGTAGAAGTGGCTGCCTCCTGCAAAAACATAACAGTAGATAATTAGCAAAACACAGATGTTATTTGAAAATTTTCCTCCCTCTGTTTTTACTTTCCCTCTTATACATAGTACTGGGTGGCGTAAAAATAATGCATGGATTTGAGTTGAGTGGTAGGAGTGGAATGGAATTGGAGACTAGTTGTTTTGTAGGTTAGGGCAAAAGTCATAGAACGCCACCGAGTAGAAGAAATAGAGATAATATTTTTTTTAAGAATTTATTATCCTTATTAGCCAATACAGGGTGATTGATATAAGTGTGCCAGCCGTTTTATTCGAAAACTATAAGAGATATAAAAAAAAGTTAAATGGTAAGTGCCTTGGATTTTTAATTTAAAAAATTGTAGTCAAGTCGAAAAAATATTTTAGCCACCATTTTTCCAATACGGCCGCCAACTTTGATTTTTCTTATAGAACACCCTGTATTTTATGATGATTTTATGAATGTAATTTTAAGACGATTTTATTCTTGTGATTTTTTCCATAAACCTAACCTTTTCAAAGATAATAATGGTTAAAGTTTTGAAATTTCTGCATGAGAAAGAGTTTTGATAAAGGCCTAAGCAAGCATGCCAGCTGTTTTATTCGAAAACTATTCGAAATTTCGAAGGACAACGTTTTGTTCAAAATCGCTTTGTTAAACAAATATCCACCATTTTTTATTTGTTAGGTACATAAACATTTTTATCTTTGAATTTTTTCAACCGAACTTTATAAAACTTGATATAATATGTTAAGGTAGAGGAGGTTATAATCAAAAGTTATCAACTTAAATTACTAAAATATGGCTGAATTTAAGAAAAAATGTGAAGAACACTTCTATTTAGCATTTTCAAGTCCTAAATGTTACCAAGTTACAAAGATCAATTTTAAAATAACTGAAATCATTATTTTTAGTAGTAAAATAGCAAATCTGACTAGCTTAGCCTTATTCTACCCCATTCTACCTTAACATACATACCAAGTTTCAGAAAGATCGGTTGGAAAAAATCAAAGATAAAAATGTATGTAAAAAATACAAAATGGCGGATATCTGGTTAACAAAGCGATTTTGGAACAATAGTATTCTTGATTTTCTCTTTATTTTGACACAAGGAATCACTATGTAAATTATGTCCCCCACCTTTTTTTTAACACCCTGTAGGCCTATAGGTAAAAAAATATGCTAATGACAAAGGAATTACACTGAAGGACAAAACACGGCACATTATTATTCATGAACAGAGATTGAGTGCATGAGATGCATACATTTCAGCACTATCAATCCAGTTGCAAATTTACAGCACCATTTTTACAATATAAAACTCAATAAAACAGCAAACATAATATAGAGTAAGCAAAAAATAAATACCTGAGCCATTTGGATTTGTTTCAAATAAATAGTGGTGGGTGAGGTGTCTGAAGTGATCCAAAGTTCTTTGGTGGTCGGGAGGGTTTCAATGTTTTGCACATCCTGGGTCAAAACAACAAAATAGGGGCGTAAACAAACAGGGCAAAGGCAAAATAATCAACAAGCATGCAAAAAGCAATGCAAGGAGTACAAAAAAAAAAAAAAAACACTCGGGTAAAACTCAAAACAGGTTACCTATGTAGCTTATTTATTGAAGCTTGGGAACTGGTGAAATAGTGTTTAAGTAGTCAAGTATGGGTTTTCAAAATTTGAAAAAAATCCTTCAAGAACCATTGGTTTCAATTGAATAGGTTTGAATCACAACATTCTGTATTAGTCATGATTTGAAATAGTGCCACAATGTTTCCAAAGAATGCAGAACAGTAAACTATTTTACTTTTGGATAAGTCCAAATATATTAAAACCCAATCGCAGCACACCTGTGCACTCAACAAAGTTTAAATTCTCCACTACTGTAGGCCCTATTAAATATTTTAACATAACAAGTAAAAACCTGTATCAAAGTATTATATACAATAAAAGGGATGGCAATGCCTTAATATTTTTATCTTTTTTTCTATACCCACACAATCTAACATAAATTATTAAGTGACTAATAATCGTGCAAGCTATCTCAGGATTCTCAGGTAATCAAATTACTCCCAATTTGTTATTAACCCACCACATTACTGTCATTAAAAGAAGGAATTACAATAATACTAAAACTATTTATTGTATTTGTAAAGAACAAATTACAATTTAAAATAATAGTTGTTAGCGCAGCAACTAGCTAGTCTCTTATAAATTGGATTTTGTGATAGTTTGATCCTTTTACTGGTTTCTTGGTATTAAAATTGCAAGGACGAATATTTTTAAAGCTCCCCGGTTTACAGTTTATTTAACTTTATGACTGTCTTTCTAATGGTCTGTGACTAAAAGTGTGAAACAATAAAAACCAAACAAATGATGCATGTAGAGGTGTGCAGAGTTGTAGTCACTTACAATGATGCGTTGTTTCTGATGTGTTCGAATGTGTTTGGACAGGTGGTCACTTCTCATGAACTTCTTGTTGCATTCCGGACACTGGAACCTCTTCTCACCGGTATGAGTTCTTCTATGTCTCTGGAACATTAACAACATGTTTTGATTACTAAGATTGAGACAAAAAGAAAACTTATAAATTTCAATGAATATTTTAACCTCCAAACAGCGTTACAACTTAATATTAAAAAATTTAAGGACTCCTTGTTAGGCAGGAAGGGGCGTCAAAGCTCTTTGCAGCACAGAGCCACTATTCACCTTAAGCCTGGGGCTGTTTTTTCAACTTGCAGAAATCATCCCTTAAAAGTCGCTATTTATAGTCTACATAAGGCATTTCTTTAATTTTTATGGTTTCAAGTACGACACTAAAAGCTCCAGTTGGTTCAATCAAGTAAAGAACAAAAAAAAAACCTTTCCCCATATGTGCTGAATTTTGTCAATCATATTTATGCAAATCAAATTTTACACAGTTTCTCCTTATGTGGCACTTATAGTCCAGGAGCTGACGGGGTTTGAGCATGCATGAAAGTAGTACGCAATGTTATTGCTGATTATTGTAATATGGACTGTGGTGATCAAAATTACGTATGTCGCCTATTTCGAAAGTGGTCGATAAGGTGGGGGGGAGGGGGCAAACATGGCGGTTTGCGCTATGCGTTAAAACGCTGATAGTTCGAAAACGGTAAAAGATAGAACATCGGTTAAAACGTCGTTGGAATTCTAAAAATGTGGACAACAATAATTGTTATTGGTTCCGAGGTCGTATCTCTATAAATAAACAAGTTATTGTATAAAATATGTAAAAATGGACTTTTCGTGTAGTTTTTTTTTACCGAAAGTAGAATTAATTTGTGAGTGTCGCAAAGAAGTAATATCAAGTAGCTTTGCTGATGGTTGTAATATGGACTGTGGTGATAAAAAATACGCATTTCGCCTACTTTTCTGGTGGTCGAGAACTTGGGGGGAGGGGGGCAAAGATGGCGGAACGCGCTATGCATCGAAACGACTGTAGCTCGAGAACGGTACGAGATAGGACATCGGTTAAAACGTAGTTTTAATCCGAAAAATATTACCAATAGAAAAGGTCTTTGGGTAAAAAGTTGTATCTTAACTAATAAAAAAGTTATAACAATAATAAGTTTAACAAAATCTACATCGTACAGCTATTTTTTTCGAAAAACGTATGGATTGTTGATAAATAATAGTTCAATTACTTAATTACTCGGCTAAATATTAACTAGATGCATTTTCTTATAAGAAAAAAATATATTATTACGAATACATTTGGTTTAAAATGTAAAACACGGCCTCCAAACTACATATAATACTTGGGGTTTCGCCGGAATCAAATGCATAATACAGACTACCACTACAAATCCAATTTTAATTATTATAAAATTGTAGGTTATTACAATATGATTATGTAACAGATTCTTATTCAGTTATGCCAGTTATTCAGTTCTTATTAACAGTTGTGTCGATATCAGCAGCACTGCGCAGCAATTATGACGCAACCTATCGGACGAACCCCAAGGCGTTTGGAGGCCGTGTTTTGCATTTTAAACCAAATGTATTCGTAATAATATATTTTTTTCTTATAAGAAAATGCATCTAGTTAATATTTAGCCGAGTAATTAAGTAATTACACTATTATTTATCAACTAGCTGTGTGCCCGTTCTACGCACGGGGATCTTATAGTAGTCAGTTGAAACCTTCTTATATTAAGATTAAGAACAGCAGTTAGTTTGCATATTTGCAGATATGCTGGCAAAACTATTATATATAAACCTTCGCAAATACAGTATCTGACAGTTCAAGCCAAAATAAATGCTTTGCAATTAAATGTCACCCGGATCGTTATGGTCCATATGTCCAATGATTAAACTAAAAAATGTTTTATAGATCCATGAAGCGTAGCCCTAAAGTAGGCCTATAATTGAAAGTTACTTTCCACATCGGTTAACTTAAACGTATTTAAAGTACTACCTCAACCTCACCATTTAACACTTTATTCCGGTTGACATTTTCAGTATCAAAGGTGCTCTTGTCCATTCCGTGAAACACTGAGAAATAAGGACATTAACACTATTCGTGCTGTCGACATGTTTGAACATAAAAGTTGCATTTATTTCAATGTTAAGCAATTGCGGGAATTCCCGTCATCAGCACCCAACGTGTTAATGCGTTACCAACAGACATACACACAACAATCCAAAAAAGGCCACGAACTATTGATACATAAACAATATAAAGGCGTAAACAATTCATGATGGTTTGCCCAACAAATGTTTTAGCCTACTCAAATAGGTTATCATTTTCTTAGCATACCGGGTAAGCTAAGATTTGGAATCCAGACAGAAAAAGCAAAACTTATACAGAGTTAAGACATCACTTAAATTGAATACGGATGGCTCTAATAAATAAGGTGCAACACCAACGATAACTAATTTGTAAACTACAGTGATGTGTTGGTACCTACGTAAAAATGATTCTAGCAGCTACCAACGGTTCTAAAAAGGAAAAGAACCAGTACCTACGTAAGAACCTACCTAAGAACTATAGTACATCCGACCAATTAAATACATTAATATCTAGTCCCGAGGTTATTGATCTCTTGCTTTTGGATTTTCTCGTAAAAAGTTATAGCGTAAACTTATCGGTGTCAGTTTGAAAAAAAAAACAACCTTACCCAAACAACTTTTTGTTATTTAATAGATTACGCATTCTCTAAACAATGATTAGTATATCTATTAACATTAGAAGGAAATGTGACGAAAATCACACAATGTTGGGTTTTTGGTCATTTGTAATTATATTTCTTAAGTAGGTAGGCCATGTATTCTATGGAAAAGTACCGGTATCAAGGATCGTCGTCAAAAAAGTTGTTATGAATAAATATGTAGGCTTACGTACCCAAGCTATGAGCTATGGGCCTATTGGCTGTATGGTCCAGCGATTGCATCACACGGTGAGTAGAAACAGAAAGTGACACATTGGAAAAGCGAGTTTAGCACTTCCTCTGTTAAACCTCTGTTACAATCATCCACTGCAGTTGTGATTTTTTACTTTACACTTTACACAACCGCCATTGAAGTGCCGTCAATGAGTGGAAACCTTTTTTGTAAGCTATTGGCGACGATCATTTCAGTGTCCAGCCCTATACAACACTGATTCAAGGCCTTCTTTCTGGTTGTCAAAACTCAAGAAACATTTTATACTCAAAGAATTTCTGGTTCCGATTTGGACGATGTCTAGTTATTTAATTTCATTTACGGTTACACTATTAGACTATATTATTGCACTTGCGATTAATTAAATCCGTTATGTAAGAAAAACGTGTTTAATCTCACTTGGTTGGGATTTGCTTTCAAAACGTGATTCGAAATGGTTGCGGTATTTGTAAACAACAGCTAGAAAAATAATCTTGATCCGAACAGCTGTCCGTTATTTCATAGACGATTATGTGATAAAAATTGAACGAAAATTTGACAAAAATCGCACAAAACTGCATTTTTGAACGTCCATAATTTTATTTACTAAGTAGTGAGGCTATATTTAAATCACTAAAGACACTCTCGCCAATCCAGTGAATACATTAAAATGACTTGGATCTTGATAGGTACTCTGGTTTTCACGGAGAAGATTGCGTAAAATGCCATCTTGAGTGTTACAGACAAAGGGAAAGACAGACAGACAGACAGACAGACAGACAGACAGACAGACAGACAGAAATAGAGATAAGACTCGTTTCTGCTTCTTTAATGTATAACACGTAAAAATAACCTAAAAGTATATAATTCTGAGCAAAGTACAGACAAAACTCTAATTTTATTTATATAGATAATCCATACGATTTTCGAAAAAAATAGCTGTACGATGTAGATTTTGTTAAACTTATTATTGTTATAACTTTTTTATTAGTTAAGATACAACTTTTTACCCAAAGACCTTTTCTATTGGTAATATTTTTCGGATTAAAACTACGTTTTAACCGATGTCCTATCTCGTACCGTTCTCGAGCTACAGTCGTTTCGATGCATAGCGCGTTCCGCCATCTTTGCCCCCCTCCCCCCAAGTTCTCGACCACCAGAAAAGTAGGCGAAATGCGTATTTTTTATCACCACAGTCCATATTACAACCATCAGCAAAGCTATTTGATATTACTTCTTTGCGACACTCACAAATTAATTCTACTTTCGGTAAAAAAAACTACACGAAAAGTCCATTTTTACATATTTTATACAATAACTTGTTTATTTATAGAGATACGACCTCGGAACCAATAACCATTATTGTTGTCCACATTTTTAGAATTCCAACGACGTTTTAACCCATGTTCTATCTTTTACCGTTTTCGAACTATCAGCGTTTTAACGCATAGCGCAAACCGCCATGTTTGCCCCCTCCCCCCCACCTTATCGACCACTTTCGAAATAGGCGACATACGTAATTTTGATCACCACAGTCCATATTACAATAATCAGCAATAACATTGCGTACTACTTTCATGCATGCTCAAACCCCCTCAGCTCCTGGACTATTAGTTAAAACGTATCTACTATAAGGGCTACATGTATAATTTTACAAATATAAATATCTTCAATGCATTTCTAATTCTAAAACCCATCTGGAAAAAAGATATTATGTAATCTTACTTGTAGCTCGTCAGAGCGTGTGAAGCGCTTATTACAGAATTGCCAGGAGCAAATGAACGGTCGCTCCCCTGAGTGCCACCTCAGATGTGCTCGTAGATGTGATGTCTTGCCGTAGATCTTGTTGCATCCAGGGATGTGGCAAATGTGCAGTTTCTTGCGATCACTACTCCTGCAATATCAAAAGACTTTTATTTGGGACAGTAATTCAAACTGTGAGTAAGGAATGTTGTATGAGTTTAAAAATATATTTATCAGAGATTAATAATACTATTCTTAGCCTTGAAATGTGCAATTAACAATTTAGCTGATGTGAGTCCTACATTCAATTTTACTCTACAGACAAAATTTAACTGCTTGTGATAGTATTTCAAAGAGTAAATGGATATAATCACTAATCAGTTTATTAAGGGGCTTTTGTTTGACTTATTTTTTTATGGCTCAATGTAGGCTATACGTCTTTGGTTCAAAATTAGAATTAATTATAATCGTCCAGTTTGTAACTGCATTTTGTGCATAGGGGACGGTACGTGGAACATCTATCTTTTTTGGCTCCTTGGACGGTAGGCCAATTATTACAACATCTACTGTTGTAGTTGATTGTCTATAACATTAATCTTTGTAAAAACGTCTTTTTGTTCAATTATATCTTTGACCGATGTACAAGGAATGTTTTTCCAAGAATAAGAAATTTGATTTTTTTATGTCAAAACAAAATGAAAAAAGATTTAAAAAATGTTGGACAAAAGTGCTGCAGTAGTAGACTATTTACAACATTTTATAAATTATATATAGAAAAAAGATTTTAGTTTCTACCAAAATAAAATCAAAAGTACTGGAAATAACTTCTACTCAGTCAGATTTCTAGCTAATTAATAGATAATATATTCGTTAGTTTTGGAGTTTGAAATCGTTAGATTTTGGTCAGGTGGAAGTATCTCAAATAAAAGATTTTTACGTGTTCAGTGAGGGTTGTGTGCAGCGTGAGAGGTCAGCACTCTTGTTACAAACAACGCAGAGGGTGGAGAAAGGGAAAGTCCAGTTGCTTTGGTATGCATTGGGCCCGTGGAAGGGCAGTGGTAGCCAATAACAACACAGCAAGTATAGTTGAGTGGGAAGGGGGAATGTTTGTTTGGTGATTTGTCATCTCAAAACATTGTCTTCTGTGGTAGCAACCAACCACCTGTGATACTTAACTCCCAATTGACCGGAATAAAGGATAAAGTAGGATTGAGGCTTCCCAGATACGTAAAGTCTAATAAACTAAAAACTATTGAACAGGAAAGTGTATTGAAATACAATACCGTATTAAATTATGGTAATTAAAATGTTCAAACCATTTTCAGTTATTGCATTAAAACATAACTGAATGTTGTATTTTATATGAATCACAATGTCAAATTCGCAATCACATACGTATTTGAACACAATGACACTTGTAAATAAATATAAGATCCAGTCTTTAAGATCCAATAAAATATTTACAAGACACAAACTATGGTGAATTAATTTCTTTGAAAATAATCTAACAGTTTTCTGTTTTTGAACAATGTAATATTTTTTTACTGCTTTCATGTTTTTTGTTTTTTAACACACTTTTGTATACTTTTGGAGCATTGTGTTTTATTGCAAACAGGGTAAGAGGGGAGGGTCTATGACCTTGAATGGTCCTGGACCTAGCTGGTGACCAGGGATGGTTAGTTTACATCCTAATGCCCTTCCTTACGAGAAAAAGACACTGTAGTTTCAAAAACATTGACTTACAGTTTAAAAACATTGACTTGTGTTGGTAATTAAGACCGGCTGTCTACATTTAACTATACATATTTATCCTGGAACGTGTCCTGGTTAATCCGATTACGCTTATTCAGATTAGTTAGTTTTTAACCAACCAATAACTTTTTTTTTCGAAGTCGTCCGGTTGTAGAAGGATTTGCCGCTGACATGTCAGCGTTGCCCCGGGTGCTCCCGATTGTGATGTCGTTCATAGCGTGTAATGGTCACAATCTTTGGGGAGGCTCCTTCTGTGCACCCCGCAATGGTTGTTGAGCCTCATGAACATGTGCGTAAGACAAATACATATACCAAAGGCATGGAGGAAACATCGTGTGGCTGCACTGCTCAAACCTGGGAAAGATCCAAACGATCCTAAGAACTTTCGACCTGTTTCTCTCTTATGCCACACATATAAAATATTAGAACGTCTGATACTCAATCGAATCGGCGATTTTCTGGAACAAAAGATCATTCCACAACAGGCAGGCTTTCGATCAGGCAAGTCTTGTTGAGGCCAAGTTTTAAACCTGACCCAGCACATTGAGGATGGGTTTGAGAGAAAACAGATCACGGGTGTCGCTTTTGTAGATTTAACAGCTGCCTACAATACCGTAAACCATCGAAGACTCTTGGGAAAAGTGTACAGTATTACCAAAGACTATCAGCTGACTTCAATGATAGGCACTTTTCTTCATAACAGGCGGTTTTTCGTGTCCCTTCAAGGCAAGAAAAGTAGATGGAGGAGTCAAGGAATCGATTGCCTCTGGGTAGCGTCTTAGCCCCAGCTCTTTATAACATTTACACTTACGACCAACCGTTGCCAAACGCTACACGTCAGTATATATATGCCAATGATACGGCGGTGGCGGCACAAGGTAGGAGTTTTGAAGAGGTGGAACAGAAGCTGACTATGACTCTAAATGAACTTTCCCAGTACTATGACGCAAATCACCTCAAACCGAACCCTGCTAAGACCCAAGTTTGTGCCTTTCACCTAAACAATAGAGAAGCAGGCCGTGAGTTGAATGTGAGGTGGCGGGGAGGCCGTCTTCAGCATTGTCCTACACCCGGTGTCATACTGGACCGCACACTGACATTTAAGGCGCATTGTATTGCGACAAGAGGTAAAGTCTCAGCGAGGAATAATATCATCAGGAAGCTCACCAGGAGATGCTGGGGTGCTAACCCTAATGTCCTCAGAACCTCAGCTTTAGCGCTCAGTGGAGTACGCTGCACCAGTATGGAATGCATCGTCACATGCAAAAAGGGTTGACATTGGAGTCAATGACATGGCTCGGATTGTAACTGGGTGTTTGAAACCAACCCCAATACACAAACTCTATCCTATCATAGGTATTGCCCCTCCATCAATCCGACGTGATGTCGCTGCCGACGCAGAGAGGACTAAGCAAGAGACGACCCTCGTCATCCACTACACGGCCACCAACCTGCAGTGCGACGGCTTCGGTCCAGAAAGAGCTTTTTACTACAGATACGTGTCCTGGATGGATCACTCTCAAGCAATTGGGTGGCAAGGTGGGAGGCCACGTTGACTAACCCTCCCATACCAGCCAGGGAGGAACTGGCTCCTGGTGGAGGCCTTCATTACACGGTGTGGAAGACCCTAAATCGAATTAGGGTCGAGGTACCAAACTGCAAGACAAACATGCAGAAATGGGGTCTCTTACCAGACGAAGAAAACATCTTGTGCGCGTGTGGTGCTGTTCAGGATCCTGGCCATCTGCTGATCTGCCCACGCCTAGACCAGTCTTGCACATTAGATGATCTTTTACATGCGAATGACAAAGCCATATCGGTAGCTAATTTTTGGAAAAGCGAAGTCTGTTTTCCAGACACGGAAAGTAAGTAACTAATAACTTCTATCAGTTACTTTTTTAACTGACTAACTATTAAATTCTATCAGTTACTTTTTACGGAACTAACTAATAACTTCTTACTAGTTAGGATTTTTTACTAATTTTTTAACTATGAAGGCAGTCCAGGAAGGCTTAAGTTTATTGGCTTTGGCAACAATTTCAGCCACAGCCTGGATGTTGTTAAAAAAACAGCCTAGTGGCAGCTATTTTATACTAGTTTCTTTTTTACGTTCTGTGTCAAATTGACAACTTGTGGTTATTAAATGTTATTCTATGCCGGTTCTAAGGTTATTCTATGCCGCGTTCCAAACAAACAGGAGAGGATAAAATGAGTTTAAACCCTCTCCGTGTATGAGACATGCTAAGGATGCAAAAGACAAAAAAGCGGACAAAAGCACCAAAGTAAGTAAAATTAAGCAACAGAGAAGAATTCTTCATCAAAACATGTTGTTGTACAGAATATTACCAATGCCGAAGAAGTCAGGGTTTGTATATATGCTGACAGTCATGGGAAGAACCTACGTCAAATTCTTACAAATAGTTTACCATCAAAACATTTATGTCAATGGTACTGGTACATCAATGTTATGTACATGAAACAGTAAACTTTGTACATTTAAATAATTCCCTTTTTGGTGAATTTAGACCCACTCATAGTTATAATACCTGAAACCTAAATATGCTAAATTATCCAATTAATAAACACTCTCATTTTGAAAAAAAAACCCATCTATATGGGGATTTGTCTATATAATAAGATCCCTCAAAAATAAAATCCTATACACCACAAAAATTTAAAATTTGGACTAAAGCATTATTGGTGGAGAAATCATATTACTCCCTGGCAGATTTCTTAAATGACCATGACATTAATTGACCTTAGTTTATGTGAAATATGACTCAGATTGTTTTTCTATTGTTTTATCTCTGACAATGCTTCAAGATCTTCATTTTTATATATTTTTTTGCTAACTTTTTGAATTGGTAACTTTTTCTCAACTGTACTGTTCTTGTTGTATTTTGTTGTAACTTTTTAGTTTTCATAACTTATTGATCGACCATGCACCTGTTCACCACTGCCTTTGTAATGAAGAATGTGCACAAATGCAATAAAATACTTACTACTTATGACTTATTAAAATTACACCATGCATCACTTAACAGTCATGTAATGTTTTACTAGCTGACACTTGCCTACCCATAACTCTTTAGGGGCATTTCACCCCCCATTATCTTTGGTTCAGATGTATGAGACCTGAGCAAACAAAACTTTACAAAATATGCTAAATATGTTGTGTAAAACTGTACAAGGTACAGTTTTACACAACATAAACCACCGAACCATCTTGTTGGCTTTTAAAAATGACCCAAACTCATTCATCAGCTAGACAGAAAACTAAAAAGGATGTTTTAAAAGACTTTTCTAGACTCACCTCTCTCCGCCCTCACAGCAGTTAGGACAAGTACAAGCCACACGTCGAGACCTTGGCTTCTCATCACCAGAGTCCTCATCTACCCAGTCCACCCCTCCTCCGCCTTGCACCAGTGGTGGGGAGGGGGCACTGGTAGGTGTGGTAGGCATCACCACCTGCCACCTGTCTCCACCTGAACCCTCCTGGGAGACCTGGCCACCACCTACATGACAAACAAGTTTAATCTAATTTTGTAACTGTACAATTAGCAAGTATTAATCAATACACTAGGGAAGAAGGATGAAAACTAACTTGACCCAGTTAAAGGCAGTTGACAGTACAGAAAAACAAATCAATTTGAACAACACAATTTGATATTTTGCCTGCAAATGGGCTTCTTCAGAAGGAAGTACTAAAAGCAAAATGTAGTTCTGAATTGTGTTGAGATTTTTTTGTACTGTCGACTGCTTGAAACAATTTTTTATAGGTAATATCCATTCCTTTCTCTGTACTCATCCTTCATCGATCAAACTAAGTACTAACCAACTAATTTGGTTTTCATTAATGTTGTCACTGGACCTTAAGTGACAATTATTTATTGAACTCGCCAAAATAAACTTATAAATTTTTTTTTATTACCTGTTATGATTTGTTTATAAAGAATAATTATCTCTCCATTCAAAAATTATATTCACAGAAGCTATCTGCAAAGAATGTATGATTGTAGGATTGTAGCAGGATTTTATCTTATTTGTTGTTTTTTATAATGGTAACTTTTACTTGATGTCAGTAGTAATAATTTTGAGTTGTGTGAATTTATTAGTTATAGTATTTTTTAAAATTTTTATTTTTGACGACACTCCTGTCTTTGTACGTTGTACTATGTAAGATGTTATGAGTGAATAAAGAATTTGAATTTGAATTTGAATTTGTAAATATTGGATGTAAATTAAGGTGGCAAGTCGGTGGCTCAGTTGGTAGCGTCACGGACTTCGGGCCCAAGGCAGCGACTGCCACTAAAATTTATCAGTACAGTTCACCTTCGTACTGTACCGCCTCACCCCTTGCTTTGCTGGATACGTTCCACGCACAGATCTGTAGTCTATGTGGACGGGCAAATGCAAGGTTAAAAAAGGCTGCCAACCTCTTAAAAAAATAAATAAATAAATAAAATAAAATTACCATAATAAGGTTAGATGATCATGATTTTGCCGCGATTTCAAGAAATTCTGGATCTTGTATTGAATCACAAACCTCTTTGGAGAAGCACTTCAATACTATCGGATAAAATATTTTGAGAAAAAAGAATCAAAATCAGTTCAACCTGACTTTTCACATTAAAATGAAATTTTACCGATGAGATTCATGGCTTAGCCCAGGAAAAAACACACGGTTCTTTCATGATGTTAAGATTTACATATTGATACATCCTACCAAAGTTTTTATGCTGTTATGCAATTGTAACAAATTAGATTCTTATGGAACTAGAGAGATGTAACACAACCCACCAATAATCTGTACACTGGGTGGCAGACTATGGATGATTTGGGGCTGGTTCTGCAGGGTTGTGGTGGGGATCAGCTGTACATTGCCTAGTCCTGGAACATTGATAGTCTGCAGCCCTGGCAACTGTAACAGCAACAGCAAACCAATTAATAATGGAAAACTTAACAAAGAAATTACTTTTTGGTACATTCATATAATAAATCCATACTATCATGTGCCATTAATCCTATACTCTAATACGAGCAAAGTTTGCTTGTATGTATGCTTGCTTGCTTGCAGAAAGATCTCGAAAACAGCTCCGACAATTTTATTCAAATCTTGTATGTAGTTTATTTTTGGCCTAAAACCGAGTTTCATGCAGTTAGAACTGCCAACAAAAATCTAATTACGTAGAAAAACTAAACTAAAAGTCACATTTTTTTAACATTAGTCTCATGGGTTGCTAAGCAACTACCCACAGTATACTAGCAAATTACAAATACAGTACAAAACTGAAAGCATCACTTGTTACTATTGAGCAAAGATTATACTGAAGAAGATTGCTCGATACATTGTAGGCCTAGTAAAGGCAAGCAGTACGAAGTGTGGGATCTGTTTATGACGATTAGATTAAGGTCTTCTGCAATCCTAAAATGCTATAGGACGGGAAGGAAACAGGTCTGTGACGTAGGAAGTAGTAAAGGAAAGTTGTCCGGAGTGTTGGATCTGTTTATGACGATTAGATTAAGGTATTTGCAATCATAAAATGCTATGGGAAGGGAGGGAAACAGGTCCGCGACGTAGGAAGGGGTGAAGGAAGTAGTCAAGGCGAGTAGTCCGGAGTGTGGGAACTGTTTATGACGATTAGATTAAGGTATCTGCAATCCTAAAATGGTATGGGAAGGGAGGAAAACGGGTCTGCGACGTAGGAAGTGGTGAAGGAAGTAGTGAAGGCGAGCTGTTCGGAGTGTGGGAATAGTTTATGACAATTAGATTAAGGTATCTGGAATCCTAAAATGCAATGGGAAGGGAGGGAAACAGGTCCGTGACGTAGGAAGTGATGAAGGAAGTAGTAAAGGCGAGTAGTCTGGAGTGTGAAAACGGTTTATGACGATTAGATTAAGGTATTTGAAATCCTAAAATGCTATGGGAAGGGAGGAAAACAGCTCCGCTTCGTAGGAAGTGGTGAAGGAAGTAGTAAGGCTAGCAGTGCAGAGTGTGGGAACTGTCTGTGGAAATTACATTAATGTATCTCCAAACCTAACATGCAATGGGAAGGGAGAGAAACGGGTCCACGACGTAGGGAGTGCTGAAGGAATAAGTAAAGGCGAGCAATGTGGAGTTTGGGAATGGATTTATATATCTGCAATACTGCATAGACTGCTTTCAATGATTTCCCCAGGTACTGTACCATAATTCAATATAGTGTTGAACAAATTCTGTTGCGTCAATGTTAATTTTTCCAACTTTTAGTTTACTATCTCTGCTATCCCTTTTTTGTGGCCAAAACCCAATGTTTGGATTCCTTGCAAGCCAGAAGTTCATAAATAATTTTTAATTTTTACTTTCTCCCCCCTATTATGTATAGCATATGGAGAAAGTATTGTTTTCATCAAAATTTTCAAGTTTGAGTCTTGGGTGAATATATCCGTTTTGGGTCCCTTTGGACCCAAAAAAGTGGTTTTCGAAGTGATGTCTGTGTGTGTGTGTGTGTGTGTCATCTACTAACTTTATCATCTACTAACTTTAACATGTGTGGATTTGTACAGAGCTACAAGACTAAACCTGTGGTCCGATATTGATGAAATTTGGTATGTAGGTCCTAAATTAAGGTATCTCCAGGTGTTTTTTTTTCATTTTTTTTTATTATAATTTTTAACGCTGATTTTCCCTTAAAAACCCATAAAATAACGGGAAAAAAGGTTTTTCTCGAAAATGGCCCAAGTGATTTTCATAAAAATTTAGTATGTTTTAGCGCTTTAAATTCTGAACAAAATGGTAGAACTCCCATTCTTGTTATTTTACCATAAAAATCCATGAAAAAACTGAAAAATGAATGTTTCAGAAAAAACCGACTCTGATTGGAAATTGTCTGTTATTGTCCTTATAATTTTAAACAAAATTGTTCAACCCCTCATTCCTGTAAAAATTAAGGTTCAAATGCAACTTTTGTGATTTTACCTTTTAAATATCATAGTTAGTTACATTCATCGCTTACCCATGATAAAGGTTGTTGACAAGCTATTGGGAGAAAGTATGTGTCAGATTGCTAATACCGTTTATTACTTCTTTAGTTATTTCCATTCAGGCTTGTTCTTTCAAATCGTATAGCTCTCTCGTATCTATTTAAAATATATTTTAGTTATCTTAGTGTTATAGTGTGAACTTGTGTTTGTATGGGTGTTTATCAACAATTACACACTTTTGAAAGTTTATTTAGGCCTAGTAATCAAAATGTAGTAAAACCACTGACAAAAAAGAGGGAAAAGTTAAAGTCTTAACAATAAAAACAAACCTGTACAACATTGTTGGTTCTGACAGACGTCACGCCAGAGTTAAGGTTGGCAAGACTGGAGGCAGGTATTACTGTCACTTGATTTTGGTTACCTAAAACAAAATAATACAAACTGTATAGATGCAGGAATGATGTCTGCTGCATAGATTTTGCTTGACTTTTGGAACTAGAGACATTCAATCTATATGGATGAGCTGTAGCCATTTTTTCTCTCAAAAGGAACATAGTTGCTCAATACTCCATTTTACAAACAGAGAGAGAAACTGTAATGTTGAAGGACTTAACCCTTACTGCTGTCATCCTTTCACAAGCGTTAACTAACGGGTACATTAGCTCTACAACCTAAAGCTGGAACGTTAACTTGGACTAGGATAAGAGGGCTGGTTTTGGCTTTTAGGACCAAACCAATGTTTTTGTTCATCTTTTGTGATACATTTAAACTAAATGACATATTCCACTAGGACAATGTACACTTATGTATCAGATTTATATTAGGCAATTAAGAGTTGATCGAGTGGCTACAGGAGTGATTCTACCCACCAACAGAGCTGAGAGAGATTTGCTGAGGCAGTCCAGAGTTCTGCTGCAGTAGTAAGCTCTGCTGTGTGTGGCCGTTGCTCTCACTGGTCACCACAGACGGAGACGATGTAACCTAGGTATCACAGACTAGTGTCAACACTTGATACATGTCATTTATGCTTGCTTTATCATGCTTTTGTGGCTCCACTAGAATTTTTATTAAATTAAAATTTAAAAAAATTAATATATAAAAACAGGGAATTTTTATATCAATAAAAATGTACATCCTGAACTATCTGCAAGATAATTTTTATATAATTATAATATATGAGGCTGAACAGTCTGATTCCATGGTAGAAAGCGCATAGAATTTATGTTGTTGTAAATCCGTAGCTTTACAAGTCTTCATTTCATAGTGTGACTCCAAACTCACTAATTGCCTTCTTCCATTGCTCATCTTTAATAGCTTCTTCAAATGATTCTGGATCTTCATTGAAGGCATTGTATATTTCATAATCTTTAAATTGAGATAGTTTTTTTTATTAATCTCTGTGGCCTATTTTGTTTTCCATCTCAATAGGGTTTATTTCATTTTCTTCATGTATAACTTCTCTTACATAATTAATAGGCATTGTTTCATCTTCTTCACAATTTTTTTATTCTTACAAACTGTGACTTTGCTCATTTTCTAGTATTGGATTATTTTTTAGAAAAACATTTTCTTTTTGTTGAATACTACATCATGAGACTGAATGTCTTTCTTCTGGTCTTCTACCCAAATTCTATATCCGCCACTGCAGTAGCCAATCATAGCTCCACATTTTGCTCTTGGATCTAGTTTTGTTCTTTTAGGCAGTCCAGTCGAAGTCCAGTCGAAAATGATAGAGTTTCAAAACAATATGGTTGTGATTCTTTATGAGCCATTATATTTGAGTTTTTACAGTGTATTTTAAAAGTGTGTGACTAAACTACAGTTTTAAATTATAGGTAAAGTATCTTTATCCAAGTGAAGTTATAAAATTTCAAAAAGCTTTTAAAATTGTACAGCTAAAAGGACTTATAAAAATACTCACATTTCTCCTAGCCAATAGCACATGTTTTAAACACCAACCAAATATATTGTTGAAAAGGACACTGGGAGCACAATCTTTTAACTTTCATTATTATTTACCAGTTATCAATAATTTTACAACTTGACCACTGTTTTAAAATAAATAAAAATGGCTAATTACAAAGTAAAGAACTTAATCACATCAAGATAAACAGGAAACAACTTACAGACTACTTGACACAAACAGTATTTTCCTGTTTGGATCCCCACCCTACCCCCTGCCCACCTGATACATCTGACCCAAGGCGTATTTGCAGCTGACCAGCTTATCACCAAGCAAGACCTGACCTTTGGAGCAATAACAATATTGGAGCAACAAACCCAGATATTACACCTGTTGAGATCATATTTGTGAAGAATATAATATTTTATCTGTTTACACATTGAAGAGATTCATTATCATTATCATAATCATTCATTCATTATTATCTTCGTTATATACTTTCATACCTGTCATACTTTTATTTTAACCAATGCATGTTTTGTTTACGACTTATATTTTTGTTGTATAGAAAAACATTATCTTGACTACAAAGATGGAGTTTAAAATTGAGGAATCAAAAAGTGGAAAGGATAATCTTATTTTTAACAATTATAAATATAGACAAAATTATGTGGCGAAAAATGGTGATTTGACATGGCGTTGCCTTGGAAGAAACTGTAATGCAGTTATTAAAACTGACTCAGCTAAGTCAGCAATTATTGCATCTAACATTAAACACTCTGGGCCTCATCCTGTCACTATGAGATCACTGTTATCTCCAAAAACCTCATCTACCCAGGAGTCCCCTGCCCGTATAGTATCTAATGAAAAGAATTTCTTCGAGACATCCACTCCTCAGTTTTTCATTACACCATCTGAGTCCCCCCTGGATATTACTGATAAATCACAAGAATTAGCATCCCCTACAGTTTTGGAATTACAAGGAAAAAACATGCATTTAGTTAAACAAAATGAAACTTTAAAAGAGCAATTAAAATGTGTGCTTGATCACTCCATTGAGTCGGATACTCGTCTGATGAAATACACAAATGAGATTTTTCCCGTCCCAGAATATCTTCCGAAAAAAATAGTACCAGATATGACAGATTTTTCTGTACAGTGTGTACCTGATACATCTGAATATGCAACTTCAACCGATGATCTTGTTTCACATGTGCAAGAGAGTATAAAAAATAGCGAATCGAAGGGAGCCCAAACTGACAGTCTGTTGCTAAATAAAACAATGATTATGACAGAGTTATTAGGCACCAACTGGCTCTCAGATCTGTCTCTCCAACCATACTTTGATATGCTAAGTAATAAATTCCTAATTCCAAACTCATGTATTATAATAAACCCGTTGATAGTGCATGCGGTAAAGAATAGCCAAGACTTTCATACTTTTTTAGATCCTCTAAAAGTTACAGAAAGAAAGATAACTATCATGCCAATAAATGACTCGGAGGAAGTAAGTAGAGAAGGCAGTGGATCACACTGGAGTGTTTTGATCTTCGACAGAGATGAAAATAAATTTTACCATGCAGACTCTCTTGGTAACTACAATCTTCATTCAGCAAAAAAAGTTGCTCAGAGACTGTCAGAGTATGTGGGTGGTAAAGCACCAACAGCTAGCTTTCTGTCATTAAAAAGCCCACAACAGCCTAATAGTTATGATTGTGGTATCTACTGTTGTTGGGTTGTTGAGTCAATAGTAAATGACGTAGTTACTACTGGATTCTTGAACATTAATTCCATTCAGAATAAGAAGCTGACAGAACAGGAAGTAATTCAAAAGCGTGCACAATTAGCATATATTCTTCTTAGCCCCTCAACAGTTAGTGACAAATTACTTTTTTCTCTAATGATTCAGAAGGACACAAAATTAAATACCTTGGTCATTGAAAAAAGCAACACAGAAATCAAAAATGCTTTGTCGCAAAATAGCTGGACTCAAGTACAAACTAAATCAAAACATCTCAGTTTCGAAACAAACCATAATCCTACTTTACCTATAAAAAACAGATATGATATCCTCCATACACTTGAACAAGAAAATAAAACTCCAATGAACTGTACACAGAAGCCCACTGTCCCTCCTGCTAACATGAAGAGGAGAAGAAGAAATCATGAGAGTACACTAGGAAAGCAAAATACCCTACAATATGTAAATAAAGCACACAACACAAAAACCACGATATCTGAAACTGATATTTGCCCAAATGTCAAGACAACACTTTGTGCAGACAGCCAGGGTAAACATATAGCCTGGAAAATTCAAAAATTCAGTTCTGAAAAAATAAATACTTTTGGCTATGTCAGAGCTAACACCACTCTTCTACAAGTACTCGAGTCAACTACTATTGATAAAGACAACCCTCTGATTATATTAGGGGGCACCAATGATAGTCTGAACGGCACCTTACCAACTTTGTATAAAGAACTAGAAGAAAAATTACAATCAGTCTGCAAACATAGGCCAGTTTTCCTTTGTACAATCCCTATTAGATATGACAAAGCACAAAATGATCCGGACAACTTAGATATACTGCTAATGAATAAATATTTTAGAGAGTTGAGTTACAAAATGGACAATCTCTCTGTAATAGATCTGGATGATTTTCGGCGCTTCCATTTTACAACGCACGGACTGCACCTTAATGGCCGTGGCAAGTCAAAAATTGCGTTCCTCATAATAAATGCCCTAAAAAATTGGTATCACGGAGATAAAAAACTACCAAAGGTTCCTGGAGATCCCACAGCAGAACCACAGCTACCACAGCAGAATGCAACTTCATATTCAGCACCACCTTGTCTACCAAATTCTGACAATGCAGTTTCAATCACTAGTGATCCTACAATTAAACTACTGGAAGCAGACATGACAAATGTTATTAAAGATCATATAAATAATAAGGACATAGTTTTCGCCCATTGCATATCAGCTGATCTTGATCACGACAAAAATATGAGTGCTGGAGTGGCGGTTCCGTTCAAGGAGCTTTTTGGGAAGCCAACAACTGCTGACTACTGCAACTCAAACTTAACGCTACAAAAACATAAAAGTGGAGCTAGTGTATTTGGTTTGGTTACAAAGTCAAAATTCTACGGAAAACCCAGCGACACCAATTATGAGCTCTATAATAAAGCATTTCAGCAGTTGATACAAGAATTTAAAAAACAAAATTTCAAGACCCTCATCTGTTCTCCATTGGGATGCTCAAGAGACCGTGTCTTACCACAACACTTTGCAAAATATATAGTTGAATTCCAAAGCTCCACTGCTGCATCAGTTATTATTGTCATCTCAAAGAAGTACATTTCAAGTAAACAGAAGAACACAAAGCCATATTCTGAGTTTGTAAGGAACCTCACACAGGCCATTGCAACGGAATCATCTCACCATAAAACCAACAAATCATCCGAGACTCAGTCTGTGAACAAAACATCCTCTGCATCATTCCCTCTGAACCCGAAGCAGGCACAACCTCAACCACGGACTGTTACAGAAGGAAGAATATCGACGCAGGACAACCAGCAACAAGACAAGGGTGATCTACTCAACACTACAGCAGACCAGGTGACTCAACCTACTTCCTTGACCTCTGACTCCGCAACACAGTGTAGTGAAAATTCAAATAAGGCCTCTAGTGGTGATGAAAAAAGTGAAGATTTTGTAAATAGTATACTAAGTGGTAGAATAGCTGGTCACAACAACAATTTTTTACAGAATATAAAGCCTCAACTGATAGCTCGATAAACAAAATTCTTAATAACCATCCTAAAATAAATGACATCCCAAGTTGTGATAGAAATGATCTCATGTTGTTACACATTAATATAAGATCAATTCAAAACAAATTAAATGAGCTGCAATATTGTTTGGATATGTTAAACTGCTCCATATTATGTGTTAATGAGCACTGGTTGAAAGATTTTAATGTTGACTTGTCTGTTCCCTTTAATTTTAGGTTAGCAGTTGCTTACTGTAGAGTTAACACAATTAGAGGAGGCACTGCCATATATTTAAACAAAAGCTTAG